TCGAGTGCTGGAATCCATATGATCCCGCAAGAAAATCGAACCTCTTTTTCAATACAGGCAAAATAATGTATTACAACAAGAAAGCCAGCGCTGATCTTCCAGTCCGCTATAACATCGCAGAAGGTTTGAAGACGAATTAAGAAAATTCAACAAACAACCTTATTTCCCACTTAGAATTCTACTTTGTTCGCTAAAATACCAAATCATACGAAAGAAACACCATTATCTGAACTCTAAATTTTTTATTTTATTTATTTATATATCTAAAGTCAATATAATACACAGAGATGACCATATAATTAAGGGAAGGAAAAATTTTGAAAAAAGAGGAAGAAAGACTTGAATGTATTACTTTCAGCCTTTTTGTTCAACTACATATGCTCTCATATAAAGGAATAATGATTTCATTGATCAAGATCTAGATTTACCATTGGAATTAAATTTCTTTCATTTTGGAAGTATAGATTACAATCGAATAGTATATCATTGTTTCTTCATTTATTAAATCTTCGACATGTTTGTTGTGCCTTCGACAGCTTTATCAAACCTTTGATATCTTTATCTTTCCACGGGAATGTATGTTGAATTAGAGCAAAGCATAAATAAGATTTCATGACTTCAAATATATTACAAGAACAATAAAAAAGAATTTTGTAAATAGTTTCCTGAAAACAATAAAGGTTTATTTATTGATTTAGCAATGCAGGGTTTGGACAAAGACATCTACAGTTATGGAGTTTAGAAGGTGAAAAAATAAATATTGCATGCATCCAACATCCACTTGCCATCGTCATTGTCATGAGCTTGGCCATTGCTGGGGAGTATTTCAGTGGATAGAGTTTAATTATCCACGTCTAAATACTATCTCTATTAGTATAATGACACGAGTGTTTAAAGAGGGTAGGCAAGACTGAATATGTTAATTTGTTCGAACGTTTTTTATAAAAGTCATTAACGAAAAATTGTACGAATTAATTAATTACCGCGTTGAATCAGATGGTTATGGCTTTTTCGATAAACTTCAAGAAGAAATTGTCGATGCAATTTTGCAAAATTGCGCAAAAATGCAATCATTTCCAAAAGATACAATTTCTAATTTATTTGGCAATTTGATGAAATTACAGCATTTTCTATGTTACATGATGAAAACCTCAATTATTCATGGCGACAAAAAGAGGTATATCAAAAATCTTTTACTAAGCGTAGGAAAGGTTGTCCAGAGCGCCAAATATGTCCACGATGCTTGGACAAACGATTCTTTTGATGATGTCAGAATATATTTAGAGAAGGATATCACGTACAAGGAAAATGGAGTTCAGAAAGGTAATAAAGGTTTCTGAATCAATTGCTTTACAAGAATTTGTAGCATTAATCAGGTGTAATCGAAGTTTTATTGGATTAGGATGGCCACTCATAGGCTCCTGACAGCATAAAAATGTTATTATCTCACAATATAAAAGGAATCATAGGAATCTACAACTATATCTATATTGTTGGAAGACTTCTTAATGTATCATGCATATAAGTTATATCAATAACTCCATTATGTTATATGATTGAATCATATTTTCGTTTCATGTTCAAAAACATTAAAATCATACTAACTATATGAGTATTATATTTAGGAAGCTGATATATAGTATGATAAAATGCTAGGTTTTGTGATTAAGAATATATACTTATCTTTTAGAAAATAATACTTTTATAAAAATATATCTTATATAATCTAAAATTTGGGACAATTAAAAAACATTAATTAAAAATAGAAGGTGAAGTGTTTATTCAAAGAAGGTGCAAGATTATGATGTTTTGAGGGTGAAATAAATTTAATAATTATTTATGTGATTTAAGAGTAATACGATCACTGGTAGCTTGAAGACCTCTCTTTATAGCTCTTAATGCCGCAAACTTTTTTTGAACTTGCTTTGAATTTTTTTGAATGCTTTGATTATCTTTTGTTGTATCATACATTCTGAAATATCTGTTCATCATTTCTGGCATTGTTGGTAAATTTAACCTGTTTCTTTTATTGCTACAATCGTTTTCAAACATACTTTCATTGAAATGCAATATTGTGACTGCCATCCTAATTGGCCAAGAGCATGCCAATTAATATTTTTTTTAGCAAGCATTGCTTTGATATGGTTTATCGATTCAACTACTTGAGTTGAATGAATCTTTTTACCATATCAAAGATTTTTACGGTATCTTCGAGGAATTTTTTAAGTGTTTTTATAGCAGTTTTATTTTTTGCATATTTCATGGTTAATCATCTTGCATTTTTCAGAGATCTGGACAAAATTTAATGATTTCCGGCATAATGTTTAGCGGAATTCAACCATAAAAACTTCTTTGTTTTAATTGACATATGTGTGTCATTGAGAAGTTGCCTAAGCCAACGCAAATAAATTCTTTGAAATGCTAGATAAGATTTCTGAATTCTGGCAGTTTTGAGCTTTTTTCTGTATATTGTTAAGAAAATGTCCAGGATCTCTGTATCTCTGATACCTTTGAACGTATTTTTGATTGTAGAAACAATTTTGACATCTGCCCATATGAAAAAATTTACACGTTTTTCATTATTCCAACGCTTCAGCATTCTTTTTAAGCTTTCAAATTCCATTTCATTTGATTTCCGTTGAAATTACTTTGAAATTTTTAAAAGATTTAGATATCACTTCCAATCTACAATTTTTTTGAGTTTCTCTTCTACAAATTGTACATAGCAAAACATTGCATTTCTTCTCTGACTTCAAGAACCGTCAACAAAAGTCCCGAACATTTCCATTCGAGATTTCCAATAATTAACAGATTCTCTGGCAACTTCTATGATAACACGACCAACCTTTTCTTGGACTCGATGAAATGTAGCTTCTGACGGATATTTGATGTTATTCAGCATGAATTGAAATTCTGATTGGCAAAATGTAGCGCCGCTCAATAATACAGATAGCACAAATTCAACAGTGTTGACGACATATGGCTCTACCCTATTTTTCGCGCTTTGAACTAAGTTCTTTATACCGCTTTGCAACTGCTTTTGTTTTTCGCCGCGGCATGAAAAATGAAGAGAATAACTTGACGGTTCTCTTGAACAAATGTCGCACATTCATAATATTGTGATGTACGATCAGGTAAAAGATTTTGTTGCCCGTGAATTTAGAAAATAGCAAAATTTTCAATTTACGCAATCGAGATATAATTGATCGTTTGAGCGATAACCATGGCACCCATAGTATTAATGAAAGTACTCATACTCCAATTATTTTCTCCATAGGAATATTGTTCAATATACTATCACCCTATAGAGGAAATCTCGAAATAAAATCGAATTTTTTCAAAAATTACAAAAATCAATTTTTTTACAAAGATGTTCGAAAAAAATACATTATATACGCATCAAATCAAAGCATTATATTGGAGCATTATAATTCTATATATGATTGTCCATCTTGCTGTTGTGCTATTTTTTTAAACAATAATTCATTGTTGAAATTAAATTGCAATTTCAGTAAAAATAGTTAGTATAGTCTCGTGTAGGAGGCACTGCGCTCCTCTTACCGCATATATGTGAATTTGACACTTAACAAAACCGTTAACGTATATTTTACAACACAAAACGACAACACTAACTTAACCTTAAATATTTACAAAGCCCAACCACTTCACCTCACTATGTAAAAAATAAAGTATACGTTCACTAAAAAATATTGCAACTCCTCCCATTGCTGTGCTTCACATAACAGTCATATCTTCTGACTCACTTTCTTCTTCATATAGGTCAAAGTCACTGTCAAAATAAATGTTAGTAAGTTTTGACAAAGCTAATGAAACACGCTTTACCGTTTGTATCTAATGCTTGTATAAACTTTCCATTCTTCATTCCTTCATAAACGCTCAAACTAACTTTACCTTTTCTCCCTCGTATCTGATAGAATGTATTTTCACGAGAAGAAAGAACAAATTCTTGAACTCATGACGTTGTAGTTTGTTATCTCAATAGTTTTCGTCATTTATATAAAAATAAAATAAAAAATAAACTTAAAAATAAATAAAAAATAAATGATATCACCACCCTCACACGTATGAAAACATAGGCAAAAATAAATTTAGGTGAAGTGTGAGATCTCACCTGTTTTCTAACCTCTTTTTTCACCCGTTGAATTCATTCTTTATAACTCTCTTCCTTGGTTTCTTTTTAGTTGCTTTCTTCACGTCTGTCTCCAACTTGACTGTCTTTCTTCTTCGTCCGTAATGATACCATTACTTCCACCAGTCAATGGGTCAAATGGTCTTTCGTAAGGGTTTCCATACATTCCATAGGACCATACGGAAGAACTACTGGTGGAGGAAGAGTTCCATCGACTCTATTTAAATGCATTGTTTCACCTTTCATCTGGTCATTAAAGTCTTTTGCGTGTTTTGCAAACTCATCGTCCTTTCCTAAAGCATTTTCTGACTCAGTCGCAACAAAATTGGATGCTTTATTTATGAGCCCTATTTTATTTAATCTTAACTTCTTTCAACCCAGCCTCCAATCTTCCCTTTATTTGCATCTAATGTCTTCGAAACCCTTCCTCCACTCATTTTATTTACTGCGTCATAACCAAGTGCTTTTGCTCCAAATGCTATGCTTTTGTTCCCATTGCGCCTAAAGCTGCCCAAGCTACCATTTACACCATATTAAAATCATCTCTCTTCAATATTATCTCATAAAAGTTCTCGTTACTGGAGAAAGTCAATGAAACATAACTTCTCAGGACTTCGTCCTCCCGCTGTTGCGGCTTCATAACTTTTTCTTATTCATCTATACGCTTCAAAATGTCTGAACAATTGCTAACATCTTCTACAACAGTTTTTTCATCATGAATGACCTTCAAGAACAAGCTCATTTAATATGCATTAAAATCATTCTCAATAATGAGTCCATCCTTTCCATCTTTAGGTAGCACAACATCTTTCATTGAAGAAGGTTCGACAAGTCTTATGTTAAACTTACTAATGATCTTTGGTTGAAGCAATTCAAGGCCAACAACATCTGTTCTGTTGAAAGTCTTCCACTGGCGTAATTCAAGTAAATTTCTTCAGATTTTCTGATGTTGAAAACAAAAGAATTTGATGGTGTTGTGAAGTTCTCAATACATAATCTACTGAACAAATAAATTATGTTTTTGTCGTCACTTTTCAAGATGAAGTGACCACTCTTGAATGTCCAGACTTGGATTGAATCTGCCTCGTATCTTCTGGCGCAAATTAAAGTGCTCAATGACAAACAAATAACAATGTGAGAATTAAACAATGTTGTTTGTCCCCAATGACCAATCAAAACACTTTCAATAAACGAATGAACAAGGAAATCGTTGTTTGGCTCGATTAGTTTCAGTGAATTGTCATCATTCAATTCGGCAAATGTCAAAATCAAAATCATCGTTTTGTAAATGAAAATGACACTTTTTATACGATTATCGTAACGTATCAATTCACATTTTGCAAAAGAAATTGGATTTCCGTATTTTGCGTACACTCTTTTGAACAGTTCGAGTAAATTAGACTGGCTGTTCTTCGTGTAAAGATGAGTGTTTACAAATGTATATGGAAATGAAGTGATGTGACCATTTACTATCGGTTGTAAAGTAGAAGGAGTCAAAATTCTTGGGCATGAGAATGGGAAGCATCTTGGCGAAAGGTGGAAGCAAATTGGATCATAGTTTTGGACGATAGAAAGTTTATCTTTTTGAGATTGAATGAATAACTTCCATTTCGTCATTTCTTCATTCAAAACGAAAGTTTTTTCAAGAGTTTGAAGATTCTTCTTGAAATTAATCGCGTTGAAATAATGGCTTTGATGTGCTAAGTAGCTCTGGCTGTTTATCGATTTGCTGAGACTAGAAACAACGGAATAAAAAGTACTCTTAAATTGTAAAATTTGTTCGTTATTTTGTTTGACGTATTTCTCTTCATTTTCCATTTGTTGGTGCCATTCTTTCTCCAAATACTGGAAATATGATTGATCAATGTCTGTTTCATATATGGAATCTAAGAAATTCAATTCTTTTTGATCGTTTGGCAAAAGTGAAGTGAATTTCTCAATTAATTGGTCAAATGACTTTGAAGAAGTTTTTGAAACAGTAAAGAACAAATAGTACCATGCTTTGGAGCTCTTTGATTGAATAATAAACGGCATAATCGTTGTGATATTTTGCACAAACAAATGCAAAATGTTTTCCATCATTTTATGAGGAGAATGCATGAACATGTCAAACAAAATGAAATTGATTTTGTTTGAGATAAAATTGAACTTGTATTTCAAAGTTGTCAAATACAAGAAACCGAAAAAGTCCTCAAAAAATTCAACAGGTCTGTCTGAAAACCCTTTTGTTGTTACAAAGAACAAAATGAAATCCAAGAAAAGAGACATGTGGAAATTATTTGTTATTTCTGTACAATTCCTTAAAAAGATATGCATCAATGGCTGAATAATCAAATTACTGCGGCCAATTTCGTAGAAAGGAATGTTCAAATAGAAACTAGAGAACAAACTTGAAAACAATTTCGCAGGACACTTGTAAATAATCGATGACAAAAACAAATTCAAAGGAAATTCTTCAGAAATGTACTTGACAAAACCGTTTGAATCAAAATCTTCTTCTAAGACAGGAAATGTCAAACCAAAACCACCTAAAACATCCTGAATTACAGTCAATATAAAACTGTAAGCTTTCTGTGGCGGTTGCATTGGTGGAATACTTTCAGATGATGAAGGTTTTGCTTCAAAATTATCTGACATATTCGATCTATTTGTTGATGATTTGTCATAATTTTCAGAAAATGTTTGAAGATGCCCTGTATAAGTGAAAATCAAAGGGAACCAAGAGACAAACAAGTTAATACACAAGTCCTGGGAATAAAGAACTTGTATGTGATCTTTCAAAATAGAAATTCCGTTTTTGTAAGACAATAAAATTTGATGAAAATCTTCAATGTTTGTTTTCGAGTTATGGAAAGAATGCAAATGAACTAAAACTAAAGAAACAGACCATACTAATGCCAAAAGTATTGTCAATGCTGTCTTCAGTGATTCGCTTTCCGTGATATTGTCTGTGGCCAACAAAAACGTGTCAGTCCAAATTTGACATGAAAAAGCGAATTTTGCGATTAAAACCAAGAATGTTTGATCTAATTTCATGAATCCTGGGGAATAAATGTTGCATGTTACCATGAGATGATACATCAATATACATGCTTCTTCACTCGAATTCAACATAACAAATTTCAAGCTTTCAAAATCACAAATTTTTGTAAAGTATTCAATATTTTTTTCATTGATAAAATTGATGAAACCTTGAATAATTGTTAATTGTACATCAGTTCTTTTTGTTGTTGTTATTCCTGTCCATGTAATTTCTTTGTCATCTAAAACATGGCTAGTTTTCATGATACATATCAAGTTTTGTATCAAATTTGGAATTTTTTCATGATTTTTCAAAATCATTTCAACAATATTCAAATTTGTTGGGTTTTTGATTACTTTTGTTGCAAGGAAATGTTCTATTCCTTCTATAGATGTCCAATCAATATCACTGAAGTAATCAAACAAACCAGCAATCAAAATCTCGTTATCAACAAATTCCCACATTTCGTCATCGAACAAAATACTCAAAAGAATTCTTTCTCTTCGTGAATGATAACTTGCTGTTTTAAGAGCTTTGAGGAACATGCTTTTGTTGATGAATTCACGATGTTTCTTCATACTAGAAAGAATTTTCGGCCAAAACTTTAATGAGTTGAAATAAGTTATTTGTGTAATTCTCATTAAAGTTGAAAACAAATTATTATATTGTTCAGAAGTAGTAGCAGTTCCTAAGAACTTGAAAAGACCAGAAATCTTTCTCATTGACAAGAAGTGAACTGGCAAACCGAAATAAGGAACAGCGACAAAATTCGGTGGCAAAACAATTCTCGGATCATTTGAAGAATTCGGTTCATTACTCGATGGATTACAAAAAGTATAAGGAGTAATGATGATTTCCATTCTAGTATTATCAATGTAATCAATGAATTCTGGTCCATGGCTGTATAAAACATCAGCAGGAACATAACGGTTTTTGTAAATTCTTATTGAACAACCAAGAAACATCAAACCACGACCAATCCATCCGAAACCTGCGAAAGAGAAAGGATTCTTTGTTCTCGCTGGAACACGTATTTCTATCATTTCATTTTGCATGCTTGATCTCAAGAAGAAATGGACAATCGATCCCAAAAATTTTTCTTGTAAAGAGATGTAAACAAAAGTCATTTTTCTACAATCAATGTCAAAGAAATATTTTTCATCATTCAAAGTCAAAATTAATTTTGATTTCTCAATGGAAATCAATATGAAATCAGTATGAAAGATATTAATAATATTGTCCTGTTCGTCAGAAACGCAGAACCAAAAAGAAATAGCAGAAAAATTATCATTAATCTTGAATTCTTCTCTTCCTTGATAAAATTGAAATAATGGATAATGCATGTGTTTTTGATTACAAAACTTTTTCAGTTCAAATGGTCTTTGCATCAATAAATTGACGTGTTTCGTCTTGATGTAGCGATTACCAATATCAATGATAAAAGGAATATCAAATATATCATATCCTTTCTTTAAATACTGGCTAACAACACAGTTTCCAAGCATCCATGCATTGTAAGGATCAATGAAACTTGGTTTGTCAAGTAATGTAAATAATGAGGGAACACGAATAGGTCTGTACCTGGAAGTCTTCATTCCATAGACAATCTTGTCCAGCTGTTGCTTCCCGAGACTAAATAATGGATGTTTGGGGTCTAAATCATCAATGAAGTCATCTAAATCGTCAAATCTTCGTAAAACAACTAATGATGACAGCATTTGAGAATATAATTCCATATCAGCGATTCCTTTTACGCGCATATCCTCGAGCCATTCGATACCATCACATTTAACGAATGCTTCTGCGATTTCGACCGTTTTTACGAAACATGATAAAAATACATCACAAAACTGGGTAGTTTTGAAGTCAGACATGTAGTTTAGGATTGGCTCAACAGTTCTTTCTGCAGGAACAGCGGTAATAAAGTCCGAAATGATCATAAATAAGATACTTTTTTGTTTATTGTAAGGACTTGTTTCTAATAAGGCTCTGACGATGTGGGATTGATGTATCTTTGATTTCTTGCGTTTGAATATCTCTAAAGTCATATCTATGAATGGTCTGTTTTCAATAATAATATTTGCTAAATTTTGATGGGGAAGATGTACAATAAATCCCATGAGAAATTCACTGTCGAAGGCAGGAAAATCGTCAATAGTAAAATTCGTAGTTTGCTTTAATTTGTCGAACAAATTCATCAATAAAATCGAAGCAAGCTTTCTGAGCTTTGGTTGTATCTTGTCTGTTTTGCCAAGTTGTGCGAAAACATTAATTGCTGGTGTTATTTCGCTGATAGTAAAGAATTCTGGTGAAATCAAATTTAAAATCTTGTTTGTCTGTTCAATTATGATTTCATTTGAATCAACTGTATATACTTTCGATAGATATGACGAAAATCCGTCAGATTTCAAAAAAGAATGAATGAAATCTGGATTTGAAAATAAATCTTTGAAATAGGTATGAAATTTTGGCAATATGTTTGAATTTTTCATCGAATATATGCAACTTGAAAGGAAAAGTTGAACAGAATCTGATCCTACTGGTGTAGATTGTGCAATTTTCCATAATATATTTAGAATATCAAGACTTTTTGATAATACTGCTTCATTGCCTGTTATCAGTGACATTCTAGAAAACAAGGATTGATAAATCTTTGAGATATTTTTTGACGCTCCTGAAAATAAATCTGGATTCGTCAAAAAAGTTTCGAGATTATCAAGATATTTCAGTAATAACTTCTCCTTAGCCTTTATTTCGGAGACAGAATTAACTGAATCTATAAAATTCGAAACTAATGTTAGAAATTCTGCAGAGGATGGACTTCTCTGCATTTTTCCCTTTTTTTCGAATGGAGAAAAAAAAATTTTTTTTTGAGTATGATCTCCTTGAGGATCATTTGCAAATTAGAATAAGGCAATTTCAGAATTCATTTAGCCTTCTTACAGTATACTATTTCCCTAGATATGAAATCAATATTATCATTTTTCCCAGCAAACAATTGATTTCAATCAAATCAAAATTAGTGAATAGGAAATAGGATCAACCATTGTAATTACACATATTCAAATATTGGCGAGGAACGACATATTAACATTGGTAGTGTGAATAATTTTCAAAATTTAAAATCTTATAACAGTTTCCTAAGTTCTAGACCAAACATTCAAGCACACATATAGAGCATTATAAGTTTTAGATTTCGATCTGTATCAATCCACTTTGTAAAAAAATCTTCAGAAAATCTCCAGTATCTCACTTTTGTGGACAAAATGCAAAAACCTATGAATTTTCCTATTTTAATTTGATATTCATAATATATAAGTATTTGTAATGCATATTCTATCTTCTAATTAGTAAAATTACATTGCCCGCCAAAATCAAAAATTTTCTATTGAAAAAATAGCGCCAAGTCCAAAAGTGTCATTTTCTCATTGAAGACCGCAGCTGGAGTCAATGCCGATTATCCACTTGCTGGGATGCTACACAGCCTTTGATCTGGCCAATCATAGTGCTGTTCCATCCACATCAGCAAGTGATTTCGGCATTGACTCCAGCTGCGGTCTTCAATGAGAAAATGACACTTTTGGACTTGGCGCTATTTTTTCAATAGAAAATTTTTGATTTTGGCGGGCAATGTAATTTTACTAATTAGAAGATAGAATATGCATTACAAATACTTATATATTATGAATATCAAATTAAAATAGGAAAATTCATAGGTTTTTGCATTTTGTCCACAAAAGTGAGACAGCCGAAAATCTCTACTAAAATTGCCAGATCGACAAGGAATACAACAGATTTCAAGTCAACACAATTATTATAGCTCATAGAGTTAGAAATCTGCGATGAAAATTTTAAGAGTCCAACTTCAATGCGCTTTTGAGAAGACACTCAAAATTTGAATGAAATTTTATATCAATTGAAATTTTTTTCTGAGGAATATTTTTATGAAAATGATTGTTTTCCTATTTCTTTTAGCAAGACATAGTTTATCAGAAGAACAGAAACCTACAGAGACTGAAGCCAACATTGAAGAGGACAAGTCATTGTTAGAAACACAAGTTCTTTCTGATTTTATTACAGCTCGTCTTTCCAGAAATCTTACAGTAAAAGGGCAACATGAATTGGAACCAATCGTTGGTAAATATCTCAGAAAACCACTTGTAAATCTATTGCAAGGAATCAGCCCTTCAAATCTCAATCTCAGAAGATTGTATTTTACAAACTTCGATAATATTATTCTTAAAGGTGAATCTAATTGTCTTGCAAGATTCCCTGATATAACAATTTCCGATTGTACCTTTAAAGGTTTTAGAATGCATCCAATCCATATTAACGGGCCTTCGGGCATGCAGGAGTTTGAGGATCAACCAGAACAAAATCAAATCGTTAAAGAATAGATTCATCTTTTTTTTACCAAACTTTAATTAAAATTTCACCAAATATTTATTTAATCATCGATTTTTCTAATAATTACCATTGAAAATATGATTTACAATATAAAGACCCAGCGTTTCAATCCGAATAATTTCAGAATTTTCGATTAATCAATTATATGTAAAGAGAGATCAAATATCATTACAAAAGTGTGTGTACCTTTTAAAATTAGTCGGTATTACTTTAGTTCATCAGATATAATTTCTCAAATAATTTACATAGCTATTTGTTCATATTCTTCATTGGCAAAAATACCATCACTTATATGCAAACAAATTTTAATATAGATTGACAACGTATTTGAGAATTATATCATTTTTATGTGATTTCCTTTCATTTTTTATTGTAATCAATTTAATTGAATGCAAAATACTATATATTAAGTGGAATGGGAGTAAACGAGCATCGCGATTTGAGTTCAAAGCAGAAAATAAATTTCAATATCTTATTTATATGTTTCATTAGCTTATATATTGAATTTTTCACATTGACTAAAAGAAAATACAGGTAAACGTCATAATTGAGGTTTTTATCATGTTTAAAAAAATTATGTAATAAATTCAACTGGAAGTGGATAAATAAACCTAGTATTCCAATTAGTTATGAGATAAGACATAAATTCCTTGCCAACTTCAGTGGATGCCTTCATTACCATTGGATCATTTGACACAATTCTGACAACATTTGCTCCAAACAGCATTGCACACTGTACTATGCCCATATTAGTGACATCAGATGCTTTTACGAACTCTTGTAAGAAACCAACCAAGTAACCAAGTGTATCATGATTAACTTTCGGTAATTTTCTGACGAAATCCAAAATTGTATGGTTTTTAATGGATTCGACCAATTCATTGTACAATGACATAGGAACTAAAGGCTCTGGCATATCAGCGAGCCATCTCTTGAACAAGCTCGCGAGGTCATTGAGTTCTGCACCTACATAACAACTATCTTTTCCGTTGTTTATTTCTTCAACCATTAAATCAACTTGTACTTTGTTTCCTGGAAGTCTGAACATGCCTTCCATCTTGTCAAGGCCGGCATTCCAGAGCTCGTGGATGAATCTGTGCATGAATAAAGGTATCGTGCACTTTGGCGCTGATCTTCTTTGCGCAAAAACTAATTCAAGTAAAGGAGCACCGAAAATGAAGTAATCCTGTGAAGGATGTGTAGGTATGAAATTAATCCATGAACTTGGCTGCATCGGAAATGTCTCTCCAGAGTCACAACGAGCGGCCAATCTGATATAAGACATTTTAGCTACGTTGTTGATGCCAGATTTGGTTCCCAATGCATCTGTTGCTACGTAATGTCTAACAAGAGGCTGGATTTGAGGTGATGGAGGGTAAAACGTACAAATTACTAAAATTAAATCCCAAATTCTGAAAACATTTTCAGGATTGGGGTTGTTATGTATGAATTTGAGCAAGTAAATGAATGTTTCGTCGATAAGTTGCTTCTCTTTACCAACCATTTCTACAAATACACTTGGTTGCGCTTTCGGAAGCTGTTTACAGTAGCCAATAATGAAGGCGAAGATTTCAACACAGTTCTTTTGAAGAGCGATCGGTGTTGATTTGAGTATTGGGCAGACAGAGGAATCCATATCGAAAACTAAGAGTTCATCTGGAGGAATTTCTTTCTTATTGAAGATGCTTCCACGATAACGAGTATTGAAATTCTCAACTGCGAATTTTCTGATATCCATCGGCTTTGAATCAGAAGTAATTGAAGTTGGAAGATAAAACGGAATTTCTGGTTGGAGTAACAAGTTACTATCAATAGAAGCTGATGCAGATAATTTAACAAGAGTAGATTTTCTGCTTGAAACGCGATGTAATCTTGTATTTTGGTTTAAATTCGGAAGAGATGTTTTTCGGAACCCTCCAATTCCTGATTTAGACTCGGGTTTCTGTAGCGTTGGCTGGATATAAACTTCTTGAGGAACTTGGATTGAATTGAAATCGAATTTAATCTGCTTTAATGTGTTTGGATCGATAATAATCGAATCCTGAGGTGGGTTCCATGTAACTTCGTTTGTTACTGCATTGTGAAAATATTTTTGATGTGTGTTCTCGTCTTGAAAAATATAATAGCGTGGAGTTCTTGATCGTCTCATATCAACGCTATTTAATTTTAATTCTTATTTGACAATTACTCTCAAAATATAAAATGCAATTCAAATATATGAGGCCGATAAAAGTGACATAAATATCAAAGAATATAATATACTATGATAATACTCCAAATATTTATCAAAATCCCGATAAAATTAAAAAGTGACACATTTCAGATTTTGAGAATATTCAATTTAAAATTTTGGATCACTGTTAAAACGACTATACTATAATTAAGTCATTTCGATTGCAAAAAATGAAATTCAATATGAAAAATTTAGCGACAGCCTGTGATTCTTATCAGATCAGGATGCAGATATAAAATTTAAGCTATAAAACTAATAGCAACCCCGGTTCCAAAGCTCAAATTGCTAAACTATCGGATATTTAAAAAAATATATTTGATAGAGGGCGATTGACACATCATTCAAACCAAGAGTAGGGGTAATTTTAGCTAAAAGTGACACACCCGTGAAGGGTGTGATTACCGATCGGTAATTTCGACAGTTTAGAATTTAAAATTTTTTATGGAACTGTTGCGAGTTTCATAAAGAATTTAAGGAATATAAGCAAAGATTTGAATCAAAATCTTAGACCTAAGCCGCTCGATTCGCTCGCGGCTTCCGCGAATTACAGATCAGCAAAGATTTGAATCAAAATCTTCGAACTAAGCCGATCGCTTCGCTCGCGGCTTTCTTTATTATTTTAAATTTGCATATTTCCATCAAAAGTTCATAAGGTAAAAAATTTCGTTTATATTATTGCAAAATAAAATCTTCATTATCAAAATAATATTAAATAATAATATAATATAATATAATTTATAAACAACTATTATTTCATAAAGTTTAATTGCCAAGGTTCATCTAATTTTTTGATTTTTAATGTTTTATGAATTTTATTTATCATGTATATATCTAATGTAGAAGTACCTTAATATGTACGTAAATTTTAATGAAATTTATACAACATTATAAAAATTTATGAATAAAAACTTGATATAAAATAACATTTTTATTTTTACTAAGAAAAAAAAAGGTTTTTGATAATAAATTTATTTTATTTCGAAAAAGTAGCAATAATCGTAAAAGGGTATTGATAGGCTTGCTAAAGTAACTAATTTTAGCTGTCAAATACTTTTGTATTTTGAAGTAAATTAATATAAATTTGTTTTTACTTTTATTTCGAAAAAGTAGCAATAATCGTAAAAGGGTATTGATAGGCTTGCTAAAGTAACTAATTTTAGCTGTCAAATACTTTTGTATTTTGAAGTAAATTAGTATAAATTTGTTTTTACTTTTATTTCGAAAAAGTAACAATAATCGTAAAAGGGTATTGATAGGCTTGCTAAAGTAACTAATTTTAGCTGTCAAATACTTTTGTATTTTGAAGTAAATTAGTATAAATTTGATATTATTTTAACTCCCTTTGAAAACCTCAATTTTCCATACAGAGGGAACGGGAATAGCATCCAATATTCCCTGAGAATGGTTGCGCATTCTCAGTTCCCTCTATATTTCGAACGAAGCTCTCATCGGTCTTTTTTTTAATACTAAACGTTTTTTCCCCCTGTCACTTTTAGCTAAAATTTGGGTTTGCCTTCAAACCAATGTCAAACATTGTTCTAATAAGTCCGTCTGAGACTCTTTCTCATGGCTCTTTTCCTTGCCTTTGGCTAGAAAATACAAGTAAAAATCATTATCTTGAGAGCCAAAAATTTTTGACATTTTGATAAATTTACAAAAATTTTGAGATTTGACAATGGAATACAAAGATGATTTAGAAAAAACCAAACAAGATCCATCAGAAGAAGAAATTAATCCAGAGGACAATAATTTTGATTGTACAGAACTAGAAAATACATTATCTGATTTTATAAATTGCGGAGATACCGAAGTTCAAGATAATTCAATCAAAACTATCGAATATTATTCCCAATATCCGCCAGCAGCCGATTTATTGGTTCGTGAACCATTTCAAGATCATCAAATAATTCCATTTCTCTTCGAAATTTTAATGAATGATATTAGGGAGAATTTAGTGTTACCAATATTGAACATATTTTCTAATTGTATTCGTTCTACAACCATATCTCAATTCTTCTATTATCAGGACTTAATCGGCTTATTTGATAAAATAATGAATGCACCTTCAAGAAATTATAAGCAATATCTGAAGGAATACTTAGTATCTAATAACAGTATCTTTTGTGCGTTTCTAAGTATATTACGAAATCTTTCTCAACATAAATTTCCTCCTGAGATAGAAAACGGACTCTTTTGGGTTAAATTCATTAATATAATACTTGTTTCAATTGAATCAGATGTCAGTGACTTTATGATTGATGCAATTGAAATTTCAATAAATATAATTCCACAATCAAAAGATGTAAGGATGACATTAGTTTACAATGACTTTGTACAACTTTGTTTCTCAAAATTTTTACATTTTGATAAAAGTTTTCGAATTATTCTGAAATGTTTGGGAATTTGCGTTCAATATATGCCAGATAAGGTATTTGATAATTTACCTGAAACATGGACTGATGACATCAAAGAATTATTGCTTCAAATAGATCAAGATTCTCAAATTGAAATATTAAAATTTATTTATGAAGTTTCAAGGACTCCAAGTGGATCATCTTTGTTACAATCGAGGGGATATCTTGTATTCTTAACAGAAATGAGCGAAAATGCTACTTTCAAAGTTAGAAAATATTCTTTGAAAATTATTCTTGAAATTTTAGGGTATCAACCAGAATTAGAAACCTTCATCATAGAAAAGGGGTCGTTGGAGTTTCTTTTACCATTTTTCGAAGTTGAAGAAGATGAAATTAATGATATGATTTTATCTTCTCTTTCCGGCATTATATACTCAGCAAAAGTTGTTGATGGTCAAAGTAATCCTTTGTTTGAAGCTTTTATGTCATGTGATGAGATTCTTGATTATATTCAAGAAATTTCAATCAGAGATGAGGAAAATCAGAATTATCCAAACTTAATAGAAAGTGCTCAACTAATTATGAGCGAAATGGATGCAAATATTCAAGCAATCGAACATTCATAAAAATATTATGTTTATTTTTTTAATTATTATAAATATCCATTGTTTTATTTCATATATCTTTTTAATTTAAAAGAATTATGCTTATTGTGAATATATTTTTATTGTATGAAAGCAATGCTGTATCAAGAATCATAAGAATTATTCTTTATTTACCAAATAAACATATTATTTCCGCAAAAGGCTTTAAGGGTGTACTTACTACTTTCTGAAATTTAATCAATTTTATTGACATTCGCTAATATATGAAGTATATATTTCAAAAAGGAATTTTAGAATTTCCAAAATTTTAGAATTTATATAATTTTGATAAGTTTACTTATCGTCTGTTCATACTCTTAGCAAAATAAAAAAATCAAAAATCAAAAAAAGATAGATGATAAATGACTTATTAAGATTTTTATTAAGATTCTTATCGATGATACAAGCAATATTCAGGATTATTATCTATGAAGATTCAAAAGAAAGGAAAAGACATACTTATTACGAACAAAACTTTGTAATGCCAGAAAATCCTCCTCAGTTCATGAAGATTGAAGATCATATAATAAATCGATATTGGTGTCCAATAATTACTGTCACATATGATCCCATCTTACTTGATTATTTCAAAAATGAAGTAGGGAATTTCAAAAATTATTACACGTTTACCTTCCATAATAACACAGCGAATACTTATGATATAATTCATTATTACCGATTTTCACCTTTAACAGAGAATGATATTAATTTTTTGGCTAAAGTTGCGATGACTCGAATATTACAATGTCAACATAACTTCAGTGCTAAATTTCATGCATGTAAATAAATAAATAAATTTGGACTTTTATTAGGGGGAATAATATTAGAATATGCGAAGAAGCATGAGGCAAGTCAAGAAATAATTGATTTAATTCGTCTTTATGCAAGATATTTTATATTTACATTTAATTTCTGGAGTTCGAATCCTTTTGACGATTTTTATAACAGAAGAAGGATCCTTTTCAAAACAGGCGAAGTAATTAATCCTTCAAGAACCGATCAATCAGATCATTATGAGATTCTCAGAAGGTTTGAAGACGAAATTGAGGAAAGATGTCTAAAACAAGAATATATGCAACCAAACAATGACGGTATTGCTCCTAAAAATATTAAAGACACTATTAGTTTTTCTGAGTTTTATTAGATTTTGTTTCATTTTATGATAAAAATTACTTTTGGTTTCTTGTTCGGCTGAATTAATTTAGATTGCGCAAAAATAAACAAAGCAATTGTGTTTGGTCTACTTGCAAAATGCATATATAGACGAATTACTATAGTAAGTAAGAATCAACATCATGTATCAATGATTTATCAGTCCTTTATAAAGTCATTATGTGGTTTGATGGCAAATTTGATACAATTTTAATAAAAAAAATATTTACAATTTCTTTTTTGTGAATAAATTTTTATTAACGCTATTATTCCATGAACTAAGAGAGTTTTTACGAAAACCTAAGTTATTACGAAAAAACAAATTAAAATTATCAAACATACGATTATTGGCTTCACGCCTGTATAAAACACAATAAAAGTGTAAATTTTTAAATGATTGCTACCTTCAAAGCCAAATATATCACTAACTTATTTACAGTAATTAAACTAGTAATCATAGAGTTCTTACATAACCTAAGAAATTTATTACAAAGACACGAGTATTTCGACATTAATTACAAATTACCAGAAAAATTTCCAGATTTCATGAAACTCAAATACAATGTATTCAATAGCTATTATCACCCAATAATTGCGGTCAAATACCAACCTACTCTCATTGAATACTTCAAAAAAGAAGTTGGAGATCTAGAATTTCTTGGTAATTTTTATTGCCATGGCATTAACATATCTTATCGCAATATGTTTTATCTTTATCGCTTTTCAGAATTAACAGACGAAGAACTTGATTTCGTAGCGAAAAATGCAATGCGCTATATATTAGAACTTCAAAAAGGTTGTTATGCCAAATTGCTTGTTTACGAATTAAATAATATCGGACTCATGCTTGGTGGAATAATCCTAGATTATGCTAAAAGGCACAACGCGAACGAAGATATTATTGACAATATTCGTTTACTTGCAAGGAATTTTATACTCACATTCAATTTCGAGTGCTGGAATCCATATGATCCCGCAAGAAAATCGAACCTCTTTTTCAATACAGGCAAAATAATGTATTACACAAGAAATGCCAGCGCTGATCTTCCAGTCCGCTATAACATCGTCAGAAGGTTTGAAGACGAAATTGAAGAAAAATTCAACAAACAACCTTATTTCCCACTTAGAATTCTACTTTGTTCGCCTAAAATACCAAATCATACGAAAGAAACACCATTATCTGAACTCTAAATTTTTTATTTTATTTTATTTATATATCTAAAAGATCCAATATAATACACGAGATGACCATATAATTAAGGGAAGGAAAAATTTTGAAAAAAGAGGAAGAAAGACTTGAATGTATTACTTTCAGCCTTTTTGTTCAACTACATATGCTCTCATATAAAGGAATAATGATTTCATTGATCAAGATCTAGATTTACCAATTGGAATTAAATTTCTTTCATTTTGGACAGTATAGATTACAATCGAATAGTATATCATTGTTTCTTCATTTATTAAATCTTCGACATGTTTGTTGTGCCTTCGACAGCTTTATCAAACCTTTGATATCTTTATCTTTTCCACGGGAATGTATGTTGAATTAGAGCAAAGCATAAATAAGATTTCATGACTTCAAATATATTACAAGAATCACATAAAAAAGAATTTTGTAAATAGTTTCTGAAAACAATAAAAGTTTATTTATTGATTTAGCAATGCAGGGTTTGGACAAAGACATCTACAGTTATGGAGTTTATGAAGGTGAAAAAATAAATATTGCATGCATCCAACATCCACTTGCCATCGTCATTGGTCATGAGCTTGGCCATTGCTGGGGAGTATTTCAGTGGATAGAGTTTAATTATCCACGTCTAAATACTATCTCTATTAGTATAATGACACGAGTGTTTAAAGAGGTAGGCAAGACTGAATATGTTAATTTGTTCGAACGTTTTTATAAAGTCATTAACGACAAATTGTACGAATTAATTAATTACCGCGTTGAATCAGATGGTTATGGCTTTTTCGATAAACTTCAAGAAGAAATTGTCGATGCAATTTATGCAAAAATTGCGCAAAAATGCAATCCATTTCCAAAAGATACAATTTCTAATTTTATTTGGCAATTTGATGAAATTACAGCATTTTCTATGTTACATGATGAAAACCTCAATTATTCATGGCGACAAAAGAGGTATATCAAAAATCTTTTACTAAGCGTAGGAAAGGTTGTCCAGAGCGCCAAATATGTCCACGATGCTTGGAACAACGATTCTTTTGATGATGTCAGAAATATATTAGAGAAGGATATCACGTACAAGGAAAATGGAGTTCAGAAGGTAATAAAGGTTTCTGAATCAATTGCTTTACAAGAATTTGTAGCATTAAATCCAGGTGTAATCGAAGTTTATTGGATTAAGGATGGGCACTCATAGGCTCCTGACAGCATAAAAATGTTATTATCTCACAATATAAAAGGAATCATAGGAATCTACAACTATATCTATATTGTTGGAAGACTTCTTAATGTATCATGCATATAAGTTATATCAATAACTCCATTATGTTATATGATTGTAATCATATTTTCGTTTCATGTTCAAAAACATTAAAATCATACTAACTATATGAGTATTATATTTAGGAAGCTGATATATAGATATGATAAAATGCTAGGTTTTGTGATTAAGAATATATACTTATCTTTTAGAAAATAATACTTTTATAAAAAATTATATCTTATATAATCTAAAAATTTTGGACAATTAAAAAACATTAATTAAAAATAGAAGGTGAAAGTGTTTATTCAAAGAAGGTGCAAGATTATGATGTTTTGAGGGTGAAATAAATTTAATAATTATTTATGTGATTTAAGAGTAATACGATCATCGGTAGCTTGAAGACCTCTCTTTATAGCTCTTAATGCCGCAAACTTTTTTTGAACTTGCTTTGAATTTTTGAATGCTTTGATTAAATCTTTTGTTGTATCATACATTCTGAAATATCTGTTCATCATTTCTGGCATTGTTGGTAAATTTAACCTGTATCTTATTGCTACAATCGTTTCAAACATACTTTCATTGAAATGCAATATTGTGACTGCCATCCTAATTGGCCAAGAAGCATGCCAATTAATATTTTTATTAGCAAGCATTGCTTTGATATGGTTTATCGATTCAACTACTTGAGTTGAATGAATCTTTTTTACCATATCAAAGATTTTTACGGTATCTTCGAGGAATTTTTTAAGTGTTTTTATAGCAGTTTTATTTTTTGCATATTTCCATGGTTTAATCATCTTGCATTTTTCAGGATCTGGACAAAATTTATGATTTCCGGCATAATGTTTAGCGGAATTCAACCATAAAAACTTCTTTGTTTTAATTGACATATGTGTGTCATTGAGAAGTTGCCTAAGCCAACGCAATAAATTCTTTGAAATGCTAGATAAGATTCTGAATTCTGGCAGTTTGAGCTTTTTCTGTATATTGTTAAGAAAATGTCCAGGATCTCTGTATTCTCTGATACCTTTGAACGTATTTTTGATTGTAGAAACAATTTTGACATCGCCATCATGCACAAAAAAATTTACACGTTTTTCATTATTCCAACGCTTCAGCATTCTTTTTAAGCCTTCAAATTCCATTTCATTTGATTTTCCGTTGAAATTACCTTTGAAATTTTTAAAAGATTTAGATATCACTTCCCAATCTACAATTTTTTTGAGTTTCTCTTCTACAAATTGTACATAGCAAAACATTGCATTTCTTCTCTGACTCCAAGAACCGTCAAACAAAAGTCCCGAACATTTTCTCATTCGAGATTTCCAATAATTAACAGATTCTCTGGCAACTTCTATGATAACACGACCAACCTTTTCTTGGACTCGATGAAATGTAGCTTCTGACGGATATTTGATGTTATTCAGCATGAATTGAAATTCAGATTGGCAAAATGTAGCGCCGCTCAATAATACAGATAGCACAAATTCAACAGTGTTGACGACATATGGCTCTACCCTATTTTTCGCGCTTTGAACTAAGTTCTTTATACGCTTTGCAACTGCTTTTGTTCGCCGCGGCATGAAAAATGAAGAATAACTTGACGGTTTCTTGAACAAATGGTCGCACATTCAAATATTGTGATGTACGATCAGGATAAAAGAATGTTGTTGCCGTGAATTTAGAAAATAGCAAAATTTCAATTTACGCAATCGAGATATAACTTGATCGTTTGAGCGATAACCATGGCACCCATAGTATTAATGAAAGTACTCATACTTCCAATTATTTTCTCCCATAGGAATATTGTTCAATATACTTCACCTATAGAGGAAATCTCGAAATAAAATCGAATTTTTTCAAAAATTACAAAAATCAATTTTTTACAAAGATGTTCGAAAAATAACATTATATACGCATCAAATCAAAGCATTATATGGAGCATTATAATTCTATATATGATTGTCCATCTTGCTGTTGTGCTATTTTTTTTAAACAATAATTTCATTGTTGAAATTAAATTTGCAATTTCAGTAAAAATAGTTAGTATGGGTTAGTTGTGTACGGAGGCACTGCGCGCCTCCTTACCCATGATATGTGAATTTGACACTTTACAAAACCGTTAACGTATATTTTACAACACAAACGACAACACTAACTTAACCTTAAATATTTACAAAGCCACCAACCACTTCACCTCACTAATGAAAAAATAAACGTTCTCACTAACGTTCCCACTAATGTTCTCACTTACAAAAGTATTGCAACTCCTCCCATTGCTGTGCTTCACATAACAGCTCATAATCTTCTGACTCACTTTCTTCTTCATATAGGTCAAAGTCACTGTCAAAATAAATGTTAGTAAGTTTTGACAAAGCTAATGAAACACGTTTACCGTTTGTATCGTATGCTTGTATAAACTTTCCATTCTTCATTCCTTCATAAACGCTCAAACTAACTTTACCTTTTCTCCCTCGTATCTGATAGAATGTATTTTCACGAGGAATGAAGAACAAATTCTTGAACTCATGACCGTTGTAGTTTGTTATCTCAATAGTTTTCGTCATTTATATAAAAATAAAATAAAAAATAAAATAAAAAATAAACTTAAAAAATAAATGATATCACCACCCTCACACGTATGAAAACATAGCACAAAAATAAATTTAGGTGAAGTGGTGAGATCTCACCTCTTTTTTCACCCTGTTGAATTCATTGCTTTATAACTCTCTTCCTTGGTTTCTTTTTAGTTGCTTTCTTCACGTCTGTCTCCAACTTGACTGTCTTTCTTCTTCGGCCGTAATGATACCAGTTACTTCCACCAGTCAATGGGTCAAATGGTCTTTCGTAAGGGTTTCCATACATTCCATAAGGACCATACGGAAGAACTACTGGTGGAGAAGAAACATTTTCTTTAGTTCCATCGACTCTATTTAAATGCATTGTTTCACCTTTCATCTGGTCATTAAAGTCTTTTGCGTGTTTTGCAAACTCATCGTCCTTTCCTAAAGCATTTTCTGACTCAGTCGCAACCAAATTGGATGCTTTATTTATGAGCCCTATTTTATTTAATCTTTACTTCTTTACAACCCAGCCTCCAATCTTCCCTTTATTTGCATCTAATGTCTTCGAAACCCTTCCTCCACTCATTTTATTTACTGCGTCATAAGCTCCAAGTGCTTTTGCTCCAAATGCTAATGCTTTTGTTCCCATTGCGCCTAAAGCTGCCCAAGCTACCATTTACACCATATTAAAATCATCTCTCTTCAATATTATCTCATAAAAGTTCTCGTTACTGGAGAAAGTCAATGAAACATAAGCGTTCTCACGGGCTTCGCCCTCACCGCTTTGCGGTCTATCTAACTTATTTCTTATATCATCTATACGCTTCAAAATGTCTGAACAATTGCTAACATCTTCTACAACAGTTATTTCATCATGAATGACCTTCAAGAACAAGCTCATTTAATATGCAATTAAAATCATTTCAATAATGAGTCCATCCTTTCCATCTTTAGGTAGCACAACATCTTTCATTGAAAAAGGTTCGACAAGTCTTATGTTAAACTTACTGACAAAGTTTGTTATACTATAATGCTTCGGCGGCGAATACATGTAGTTTGAAAGACATAATATAGATTCTTCAGCAAATTCACTTATACTGGATTTTATAACAATGTTCTCACGAGACCAAATACCACCAATTGACAATCTTGTAAGCAATCCTGCTGAACCTTCTACTGT